GACACTGGAACTTCTGTTGAAAACACTGGGCCCGAACCATCCACATGTGGCTGCGACATACAACAATCTTGGAGGGGTTTATGAAGACATGGGTGACTACTCAAAGGCCTTGAGTTATTATGAAAAGACACTGGAACTTCAGTTGAAAACACTGGGCCCGAACCATCCACATGTGGCTGCGACATACAACAATCTTGGGCTGGTTTACAGTAACATGGGTGACGACTCAAAGGCCTTGAGTTATTATGAAAAGACACTGGAACTTCTGTTGAAAACACTGGGCCCGAACCATCCACATGTGGCTGCGACATACAACAATCTTGGAGGGGTTTATGAAGACATGGGTGACTACTCAAAGGCCTTGAGTTATTATGAAAAGGCTCTCGGCGTTATGCGGAAATCTCTCCCGGCTACTCATCCTTCTATCAATGTGTGTGAGAGAGCAGCAGCTGAGATGGCTAAAAAACTGATGAGACATTCATAACTTCACAAAGCATTTGATTATTGTGAGGCCATGTTGTTAGGATGAAGAACACTTCAGCTGGACAGGAATGTCTGGATTTGTTTGAACTGCTGGATGCATGCAGCTATATCAGCCATTTCAGAATGTTAAGAAAATATTACCGTACGCTATTGAATTTATGGTTTAAAAAGAAAGAACGCATGGGTGGTACATTGGATAGTAGAAGAGATGGTTTTCAGAAAGAATATACAGTTTTCACTAAATTATTTTGACTATGATTGGCTTGCTATCTGCTGAAGGACTATATGCTTACGGATTTTTTAATTTGAATAATATTTAAACTCTGGATCTCTACCGAATGAGGTGTCTTTTGAGATCAATTGACAAAGTTTCACGGTGTTTTCTGCATTTTCCTCAAAATGGTCATTACGTCCTTTCCTTCGGTCTTCACCTTTTGCTGGTGAAAACGGCAAGTTGCTACCTGCTTGCATTCTCGAGTTATTGGCAACCACTTCTTTGGCCAATAATATCAGTAGTAGATGCGCTCAACCTTTTTATATGAAAAATTAGGTACGTTCATAATCGGGGCATGTGTAAGCTTATCTTTAAGAAGGCAAAAAGCAGCTTGACAGTCAGAATCCCAGGAGAAGAAACGAGAGGGATTTTTACGAAGTTGGACGAGGAGAGGCTCAGCTATTTTGGCGTAATTTTTAATGAAACGTCTGTAATAACCCGTTAATCCCAAAAAGGACTGCAGCTCCTTGATCTTTTGAGGAGAAGGAAAATGTTGAACCGCGGAAACGAGTGATGGATCAGGTTTTATTCCGTCAGGAGTAATCAGATGTCCTAGATATTTCAGTTCTTTGCGACAAAACTCACATTTGGACGCTTGAAGGGTTAAGTTGGCTTCTTTTAGGCGCAAGAAAACAGCCTCGAGGTCTAGGAGGTGTTGTTCGAACGTGGAATTAAAAATGATAATATCGTCAATGTAAACCAGACATGACTGTCATTTTAGACCCGCTAGAACAATGTCCATAAGGCGTTGAAACGTAACAGGAGCATTGCAAAGACCAAATGGCATAACATTAAGCTCAAATAAACCTCGAGGAGTGACAAATGCAGTTTTAGCACGGCTTTCGGGATCCATTTCAACTTGCCTGTATCCGGAACGCAGATCCAAAGTAGAGACAAACTTGGCTTGCTGCAGTGAATCAAGGATATCGTCTACCCGGGGAATGGGTTATGCATCCTTTACAGGTTGCGATAGTCCACACAAAAATGGAGAGTACCATACTTTTTGAGGGCAAGAACAACGGGAGCAACCCATGGGCTAGACGACGATGAGATGACATCATCGTGTAACATGTCGTCAACTGCAGTTGATGCATGAGCTTGTTTAAGTGGAGCCATGCGATAAGGCTGAGAGTTGGTAGGTTTTGCACCAGGATGTGTCTGAATTTGGTGCCGAAAGACATGAGTACGGCCGGGGCGGTTGGTAAAGACTGTCGGGAAACGTTGAATTAATTGCTTAAGTTGATGCCGCTGAGAAGATGTTAGGTCTGTGTGTGTAAGATCAGGGACATTATCAGGTTTGACTTGAGGTGTAATAGTACAAGAAGTTTGCACTAGAATTCCAAGCTGATCATGATTACAACGGTCCATAGTGGCTAGCTTCTGGCTGGGACTGATCGAGAGTGTAGCAGTGGAAAAGTTGGCCACACTGACCATGAGATCCCGTGAAGGGTGGTGTATTATGCCGTTTGCCACTCGAGGAGAGAGGTGAATAGAGATGATAAAGTAGGTTTCATCCGCAGTAAAGGTAGAAAAAGATTTATGGGATTTAGCCGCGATGAGCGTGGTATGAAAGGGCGGGATACGAGCTGATTGAGATGCTAAAAGTGTGTAGGTGGCCAAGTTGGGAGTGGATAGTGTAGAGGGTGGAACGGAAGAAGCTGGAATCTTGGTATGAGATGGGAGTGTGGTATCCGAAAGGGTGTGTATTTGATTTTGAGATGGGTTTATGACTATTTTATATTTGCGAAAAAAGTCGAAATCCAAGGCACAAAAATGTTGCAAACCAGGGATAACATATACTAAATGGTGATAGGTAGCGCCGTTGAGAGTGAGGAAAACCGTATAAGCACCCTTAGACGAGATAGGAGACCCATTAGCGAGTCGAACAGTGATGGAAAGTACACGTTGAGGATGACCGAGTGCATGAGGGTCGAGAAGTTCCAGGACCGTATCGCTGATTAGTGTTAATGTAGATCCAGTATCTATCGTGAAAGCAGAATGATAATCATTAAGCTGATCTGGAATTTAAAGAAGACTATGGAAATGAGAGGTGCGGACAATGCCAATTGAATGCAAGGCAGCATTGTAGGATTTAGGATTCATGGGAAATGCGGGGACGTTCCACCTCTTACCAGAAGGACCCCGTTACAGTTTTTTCGATATAGTGACTGAGGGTGATCACAACACTGATAAGAGTGATATCCAGGTTTTTTACAATAACGAACCAGAAATTGACTAATAGGCTCATCGGAGCGTTGAACACAGCGATTCCATTTCTCTTCGCTTTGCGCAAGGCGGAGGGGAGAAGTAAATTGCTGGATGAATAGGTGTTGAAACTCTGACCAAGTGGTAGGAAGGTTATGGGTAAGGGATAGTTGGGTGTACCAATCTAAAGCGGCATCCAGTAAAAAGATAGAAATCCCCTGCAGTAATGCGGTATCAGTCCAGCCCTACATGCTCGAAGCATAGTGCTGAAGACGAAGTAAAAACTGGAGAGGTTTTTCAGTAGGTTTACCAGCATATTGAGGTATGGTAGGTAGTTGGTGCCGTAATAATGATAGTCTGAGGTGTTGGACGCGTTTGTGGCGGTACGTCACCGGATGAGATATTCGGATTTAGTTGAGGAGCTGAGGAGGGATAGGCAGAAAGATTTTCAGATTTTGTAGACGGTAAATGAGCAGGGGGTAGAGAAGCAGCGAGGACTAGAGAGTGATCGTTAGAAGCCATCGAACACTGCAGGTCACGAAGATAATCCTCGCGGTTTCGGGCAACAGTTTCTAACCGGTTTTGAGTATCCAAGGAAGTATCATCTACTTTCAACTGTAACTGCATGGACTGCATGCTGAACAAGTTCAATTTGATTCTATATATGATGGTTCTTACGGTCAACTTGACGGAATGGGTTCTTCGATTGTTGTTTTCGGAGTCAGTACAAAACCACGCTTCGGATGACTAGTCCTGAAGCGCTTTACCAGAGCCCATCTTAGCCGTCAAATTGACGTTGCCCGTCCGACACTACGCGGAAGTGAAGGGTTGGATTTTGTCGGACAAAGATCCATGAAGATATCTAACCGTATCATGATCGTGCACTTTACAGACAACCCAGCAACAACCGTAATAACTGCCTATGCACCAACAGAAGACAAAAGCGACACAGAGAAAGACGCCTTCTGTGAAGATCTCCAAAAATGCACCAGCGACGTTCCGCCTCACAATGTCCTAATCCTTGCTGGCGATCTAAATGCAAGATTAGGTGCGGACAGCCACTTGACAAATCCACGTGCAATTGGCAGATACACGTTTCACGATACAACCAACGACAACGGCTGCCGTCTAGTCAACTACTGTGTAGCCTGCAACATGCGTTCAACTCAAACGCGCTTACCACAGCCCAAATCCAAAGCTTGGACCTGGCTGCATGCAAACGGCCAATCCAAAGCACAGCTTGATCACGTCCCAATCAATGGAAAGTGGCTGAACTCCATCAGAAACGTGCGAGCATACAATACAGTAGAGCTAAATTCTGACCATCGAATTGTGAGTGCAAAGGTACAAATCAGCCTCCGAGCTCCTAAAAACAGCAGATGTAAGCGCTTGAAGTTCGATTGGAGCAAACTCAAAGGAAACTCCATCCTACAAGCTCAATTCAACATTGAAGTTCAAAATCGTTACGAAATTCTGCTGACTGACAATCCGGACATTGATATTCAAGCAAAGTATGACAACTTCGAAAAAAGCGTAGAAGACACTGCAACCAACCTAGTCGGGAAATTAAAGCGGAAGAGTCAAAAGAACTGGGTCTCAACCAACAC